AAGCCTGATGTCCATGAGAAGCATTCCAGCCAGGAGTTTGGGCTGACTGTGGGCATCCACCTGAACAAACCACTGCCCCCTCACAGCCAGATGAAAGCTGGGTGCTGATGAAGTTTCATTTTCCATTGTAGCTGCTTTAATTATTTGCTGAAATAAATTCTAACTAATCATCCTGTGTGTAACTCGAATGTCTAAAATAATTTTTGTAGCTGCCCTGTCTAAAATGGCTAGAGCAGACCATTTGCCGATCTTGAGATGTGTCAGTTTCTTGACCCATTGTTTATGAGCATCTAATTTGTACTTTTTTGTGGACAAATTCAGGAATAAGTTTCTTTATGACCCAAACCAGCCGTAACTCTCCTCTTTGCTTTCCTGCCTTTGATCTCTACTTATTCACTGGAAAGCAAAGAGTGGAAAAACTGAAGTTGCTTGCAGTCGTCTTGGTACATTCACGGAGGCGTGCCAAAAATATGCCGACGTGTCATTGGCTGCAACAAGCAATTTTATGCTGTGAATATAACTGTATAGCAAAATAAGTATTTGAAAACCCATCAGGTACAATTCTGACCGAGAGCTGATGGTTGGCTTCCAAAATTTCCACCTCAACTCCATTATCCTATATTGGATACCGAAGTACAGTATTATGCTCCATTAACAGACTTATTTCATTGTTATGGATTTGTATAATTGTAAATAGACTTGTATTGAATATGCAATGAGATGTGCCTATTTTCTACTAGAAATTGTAATCTACGATTCTATGAAACAGCAAATGTGTATCGAAGTGATAAATTTATCTTTTAGAATTCGAAAGCCCCCTGAAAATTAGAAAATCATCGTTTGATACTGTAGTGCATGTATTGCACAGCCTATGATGACAGTGGGCCGCTGTGACAGCAAATCCCATATTTTATCCCATTTTTAAATTAAAATTCTCATTTTAGGATCAAGCTTAAAACACAAAAATAAACAAAATCAAAGCATAGATGCCTTGCAGCAAGAAGGTTCTGGGTTCGATTCCCAGCCTGGGGTCTTTATGCATGGAGTTTGCATGTTCTCCCTGAGGAGACGTGGGTTCTCTCCGGGTACTCTGGCATCCTCCCACAGTCCAAAAAAATGACTGTTAGGTTAATTGGCTTCTCTAAATCCTCTTTAGGTGTGAGTGTGAATGGTTGTTTGTCCTGTTCGTCTCTGTGTTGCCCTGCGATTGTCTGGAGACCTGTCCAGGGTGGACCCTGCCTCTCACCCATAGACAGTTGGAGATAGACACCAGCACCACTTACCACCGCAGCTGGGATAACTGTGACAGAAATTACTGGATGGAAATATATACCCACTGACTTTCCATACTGCTGCGGTCATAACAATGCTTTTTATAAAGGGTGGAAATGAGAATTCTATCATCCTGAACTTCTTCCTTTGGCTTTTCTTTGGAGTAAACAAACTGAGAAACGCATTTCTGTGTATCCGCTCAGGGCCAACCAGAAACATCACTACACCCTGAAAATCAGCACCCGCCTGGGCCGAACACGCTACAAGGAGCAGTTCATGTTCCTGTACAGGTGAGACTCCATTCATCAATTCATTCATCCATTCATTCATCAATCCTTTTATTCATCATCCATTCATTCATCCATTCATTCTTCCATTCATTGACCCATTTGTTCATTCATTCATTCACCCATCCATCCATCCATTCATCCATCCATTAATTCATATATTCATTCACCCATCCATCCATTCATTCATCCATCCATCCGTTCATTCATCATCAATAGTTCATCCATTCATTCATCCATTCATTGAGACATTCGTTCATCCATTCATTCACCCATCCATCCATTCATCCATATATTCATTCACCCATCCACCCATTCATCCATCTGTTCATTCATCAATAATTCATCCATTCATTCATTCATTCATTCATTGAGACATTCGTTCATCCATTCATTCACCCATCCATCCATTCATCCATATATTCATTCACCCATCCATCCATTCATCCATCTGTTCATTCATCAATAATTCATCCATTCATTCATTCATTGAGACATTTGTTCATCCATTCATTCACCCATCCATCCATTCATCCATATATTCATTCACCCATCCATCTATTCATCCATCCATTCATTCATCATCAATAATTCATCCATTCATTCATCTATTCACCATATATTCATTCACCCATCCATGCATTCCTCCATATATTTATTCACCCATTCATTCCCTCATTCATTTATCCATTAATTAATTAATTCAATCATCAATTAATTCATCCATCCATTCATTCTTCCATTCATTGACCCATTCGTTCATCCATTCATTCACCCTTCCATCCATTCATCCATATATTTATTACCTCATTCATTCATCCATCTATTAATTCGTTCATCTGTTTATTCATTCATTAACCCATTAATTCATCCGTTCATTGGCAGGCTAATTTAGTTCACAAACTGCCTAAAGTAGTTTATTTGAGCCTGAATAACAGACGTGCACCTAACAGTCAGATTGAATTTGTGTTTTTTTATTTTATTTCTTGATTTATTATTTGATTGTTGCTTTAGCTAAATCACTAAATTGTTAAATAAAGAAATGATATCAATGGTAAAAAATATTAATAAAGTAATAACATTTCCATATATAGTATTAAATAGTTACTGAAGATTAGAAACATTTCATTAGTTGATGGATTTAAGATTTTTTTTAATTGTCTTCCTTGGGAGATTTTTTTTCTGTGCATTTAAAGAAACCATGGCTACAGAAACCTGGCCTTGCTGCACTAAAGTGTCAGGGTAGTTCCCAGGTTAAATTATGAACAAATGTTCTGGGAAACCAGATCTACTCCTAATTAATTTCCATCACTGCTGAAAATATGGATGCTCAATACATGTCAGTCATTTTGAAGCGTAAGATTTTCTTTTTCAGGAGGGAAAGGGGAGCAGATTGGTCCTGTGGTGTTTTGCTGAGACGGTGACAGTAATGAAGCAAAGGATTGTTGGTGTTTATATTAAGTAGAGCAGTGATGGCATCACAGTGGTTGGTTTTACATGATGTCAAATAGGTCAGAAATGCATACAGGATACAATGATGGTTATCATGCATTATCAGCCATAATGATATATAGACATAAATCTTCCGAATAGTGAAAATGAAAAGAATAAAGTTTTCAGTCGGGTTATATGTCACATAACAACAGAAAGTCTTTTAAAGATGTTTTAATCTCCTCAGACTCTGTAGCTCTGACTCAGCCTTTTCAGTGTGTTCTGGCCTTTAGAGGCTAACTGTTTCCATTTGTGTGCATCTTCTGTTTTCTCAGAGCGCCGTACTCGTTGCTTTTAGTGACGCTTTAAATCTCTGATCTGCTTTATTGTTTTTAAACAGCTTTTTAAATAAAGTTGTGCTTTTTTGTGTTTGCAGGGACGACCTGGTTGACCTGGTGGGCTCGTACCAGTTTGATGATGAGAAGACCGAAGGGCTGGACGTGTTTGCCAGGGATCTGTACATCCTTGGGTTCAGGTGCCTAAATACAGGTGAGAGATGAGTTGTGGTAATAAATGTAAAATTATCTATGCAAAAATGTTTATAAGCTTGATATCTGTCTGATCTCCTCCCAGTTCTGAAAGATCTGGTGATTATCCCAGTTCACACCAAACCAGAGGACTCGGACAAGGAGCTGGACAAACTCTACGACGTCTTTGTTCATGTCAGGAAGAAGTGGAGGACTGATTTTTTTATTTTTATTTTCGTATTTTATATGCTCTAATAATCCCAGAGGGAAATTACTTCTCTGCATTTAACCCATCCCCTTGGGGAGCAGTGGGCTGCCATTTTTTGTATGTTTTGATGTAAGGACTCAACAAAACAAAACTGCTCATTTCTATAATGAGAGGAAAGGGTTGCTCTGTATTGATGGATCTGCTCAGATTCATCCTGAAGATGAATTTACCATCTGATTAATCAGATATCTGCAGCAGATCAGAGTAGACCTGCACAGATCAGTCTGTCAGTATTGGTTCTACCAACAGCATCCAGCTAAGGAGACTTTAATTAGCTAATTTAAGAGAATTAAATAGAAATAAAGATTGACAAGAAAGAAAAAAAAGATAATTTATTTATTAATGTAGATATATCCATACATTTTCCATCACACTTATATCTGGGGTCGGAGGGGTGCTGGTGCTCCAACTGTGTACAGGCGAGATGTGGGGGTCCACCCTGGACAGGTCTGCCAGTCCATCGCAGGTTTTTATTTCATCATTTTATGAAGGCCAGTTAGTTATACGTCAGACTGAACACCTAAATTTGGCCAATAATATATAAACGGTCATCTGTCAATCAAATGTTTCGGTCATAGCATCTTGACTGTATGTCGCAACTAATATACCCAACGGTTAATATAAGAAATCAGAATCATTTCCTTTCCCATTGAGTTCCGTCCCAGTGTTCACGGGGATGGACGTCTGTGTCTTCGGCAGGCGTAGAGCTAACAGAACTGGCAGCGTTGCGAGGCAAGGGCTCAAACATGTACGGCTGTAAGCCTTCTACACCAAACCAAGCTTCTGCTGCCCTGGCGTCCTCTTCCACAACATCTTCGTCTCCGCTTTCCTCCTCTAAATAAAAAATGGATGATGGAGGAGACTCATCCACGACCTCCGACACTAAACTCTCCTCCTCTTGCATGTTTCCGCTGTCCATAGCGTTCCTTGACAGTGTCGTTTCTAAGTCACCAAATGGCTGCAGGGTGTAAACTGAAGGAGGAACTTAACCTGGAACTGTCTGCTACAAAAGCATTTTAATAAAACTGCTATTTTGGGTACAAATACTCAAATGAATATAATAATAACATGGTTAAAGCCCAGTTAAGCTGGCCAATATCAAAGGCAGGAGCGGAGTGCCATGAAACAAAATGGAACAAAAAAAAGACACTTGGAACAAGATCATTTATATTTAAAATAAGAAAAAAACTATTTTATTGTCTTATTTTAAGTGTAAATTATCTTAACTGAGTAAAAATCCTCATTCCATTGGCAAATCATTTTATTTACCTACTCAAATTATTGGTAGACACACTTCATTTAAGACATTTTGACTTTTTGAAGTTCTAGATGTGTTTTGCAGTGTAACATGTTTGATATTAAAGAGATGATTTAAGCATGCTAAAACAAGCCTATTTATTGGATGAAAGAGGATCAGGATTTCAGCTTCTTCCAAAACTTGCTTCAAAAACAGTTTAAAACTAAGTAAAAATGTCTCTCAATTCGTGTATTTGCTCTTAATTTGAGAAGCTAAATAATAAAATCATCTGCCAGTAGAAGAAGGATGTTTTGCCCTTAGAACATGATTATTGGATATATATATATATATATATATATATATATATATATATATATATATATATATATATATATATATATATATATATACTATTTTAAACAGATTGTATCTTATTGCTGCTCCCATAAAGGGAAAATGCACTTATTTGAGAAAGAATTTACTTAATTATATTTACAGTTTGGCAGTGCATTTAGTTAGTTAATTTTGTCCAACTTTCATTACGTTAAAAATGAACAATAACAAGTATAGCAGCAATTAATAAATTAATTTTAAAAGCATCCCTATTGCAATCTTAAATCCTGGGTTAAAGCTTGTAAACATTTTTCCTTAGGTAATTCTGCTGGCTCCTTTTTTTTTTTTGCTGGAAGAAAGGGGCTAAGAGTGTAATTATATTTAACAAATCAATTTCACTTCCCCATAAGGATTCCTCCCTGTGATTATATCCCACTTTTACTTCCTCTGCAGGCCTGATCGATGCGATGAAAGGTGTTGTGATGGGTGAAGACGGGAATCTAACCCTAACCCTGAGGAGAGGAAATCTGCTCTTGGAGCGGGTGAAGCTCAACCTGGAGATCCAGATCCTCCGGTTGAGGGTTGCTGAGATGACCCGCGGGAATGCAGTTTGGCCTAAAGACGTCAGATCGATCTGAAAAACACTCAACATAGCCATGAACTACAATAATACTGGTTATCTAGTTGTTACAGTGTGTGCTGCTGGTTACCGTTTGAACTTCCTCAAGTCAAACTGGCAAAGGAAAGAATTGGTCCAGAAGAATCCAAAGAAGGAATCCTTAGCCAGTCGTCCCTCTGGAGCTAGCACCTGACGGGAGAAGTTATTTTTGCATTTCAAGAAGGCCAGAGTAAAAATAGATCAACTTTGGACAAAGCTGAGCAATGAGTATAAAAGTGAAGCAGTTGCCCTAAAGATAAAACACCAGATAAGAAACACCCACAATTACTTACTTTACTTCACTTTCAGCAGCGTCTTTAGCCGGGCGTACACTGTGCGATTTTTTTGCCCTTTTCAGGGCGACTTTCCAGTCGTAAAATAATTTTCCAATCGGGCCGACTTTCAGCCTGATGGTGCGTGGTTTAGTGTACAGGGGGTAACAAGGGCCGATTAGCCTCTAACGACCACCTACCCCTCAGGAGTAGTAAGGTCAGGAGAAAATCAAACATGTTTGAAATTCAGTCTGCCGTCATAAGGTAGTCGTGGGCAAATCGCTCAGTGGGCAACAAGGATTCTTCTTCTTCCTCTCAGATGAAAACACAGAAGCATGGCGGGGGTGCAATGAGTGAAATGAAGTTTTTTCTGTAAAATTGACAGACCATAGTAGCCACGTTTGCTCAGCCATGTCTTTGTCCAAATACGTTGTCACCTTTTCTTTTTAGGGCTTTTAGCGCAAAATTGCACAAATATCCAAGGCAGCACGTTTCACTCTAGTGAGCTTCATGTTCCTCTGCTAGTCGTTTGGCTTCTGGATAGACGAGTCCGAGTAGCACCATCTCACTGCGGAGTCCCACCTGGTTTTTACACGTACAGTGTAGATCTACCTGTACAGTGTACAGGTAGATCGCATCAGAGCCAAAGCTCCAGTTTTTTAGGCAGTCACTGTGTGTTGCTTTGCTCAATCAGCCCAGAAATTTCAGCTGAATGTCATCCTTTCCTCGTGCAGATTCAGTCCCACATTAATAATGCATATCTCTAAACTTGGGTTCTAAACATGATCATCCTGGTTGGACAGATTAGGGGCATGACCATGACACGGTACTTACAGCCGCGGAGATCCTGGGTTGTTTGCGTCTCAGCCAGAGCTGTAACAGCAGGTGTGCTTGCATGAGTGTTACTGAATGCTGACATGACATCATCTTCAAATTTCCTCAAGACCAGGATGTTCCACTGCGAGCAACAGAAGTTAATAACGAAACCGGAGGAAGTTCTCATAAGACCTGTGGATATGTAACCCTTCATCAAGCATTGATTAACTCTAAAAAACATTTCCAAAAACCCTCGGAGAGAGCAATGTTCCGGCCCAATCTTTAATTTTTTCTGATCCATAATTGCATGTTCCACATGTTCTTATGCGGCTCAAATAAACTGTTACATTATAAGCAAGTATTGGGGGAAAATTATTATATAGTTTCTGCATAACACTCCTTTGAATTTTTACTATTTACGAATGTTTGGAAGGTTTACGTGTTGGTGGGTGGTGGTGGGGGATAGAGTCAATCGCATTGTTTTTATATTGTTTTTTTAGACTGACATTTAATGGCTGAACCATAATGCTGGTGAAGATTCTGTCATCCAGGTCATAGTCATTCCAAAAAGGTTAAAAAACAATCCACTGGACTTTGTTTCCAAGTTTGAAGACGTTTTGCTTCCCATTCAGGAAGATTTTTCAATTCAAAATTCTCAGAAATAGCGTTGAGTTCCAGGCTTTATACAGAGATATACAGTAAACAGGTATGGGGCATTGCAGGCTAACAACGAAGCAAAACAACCCCCCTTCCAAAGTGGTGGACCCGTTCGTCCGTTTCAATTTGCATGTTTTCTAAACATAAACAAGGCTTTGTTGGGCTACTGTATAAAACCTGGAACTCAACACTATTTCTGACATTTTGAATTGAAAAAGCTTCCTGGATGGGAAGTGAAACGTCTTCAATCTTGGAAACAAAGTCCAGTGGTTTTTTGTTTCACCTTTTTGAAATGGCTGGACCAGTAATGTGGGATATCTTAAAAGTGGAATCAGCACCACGTCTTGTCTCTTCAATGCCACCCATGTTTTAAAATGACTGTCGAGACGAAGGGAATGTTTTTCAGCTATTTCAACACGACTGAATCCAGATGCTTTATTTTACTTTTGCTCAGGAAATAGAAACAAGACGACCCCCTTTGCAATGGGGGTTGTTTGGCTTGTCTGTTAGCCTGCAATGTTCCATACCTGTCTATGTCTCTATATAAAATCTCCAACTCAACGCTGTTTCTGTCATTTTGAGTTGAAAAAGCTTCCTGGATGGGAAGAAAAACATCTTCAAACTTGGAAACAAAATCCAGGGGATTGTTTTTTAACTTTAACTATGACCTTGATGACTGAGAATCTTCAACGGCATGATGAAGAGCATGGGCTAAAGGACTGATCCCTGAGGGACTCCGCAGTGACTTTGTGTTGCCGGAAAGTTGTTAGAATTTACACCATTCTATAACTGAGGTATGATTGAGACCAGTTCAGAGCAGCGTCAGAGAATCCAGTATTTTTTTGCCGCCGGTTTAGAAGAATTTGATGATCTACAGTATCAAAAGCAGCAGAGAGATCAAGGAGTACGAGGAGGGAAGGTGAGCCTTTATCTGCTGCCAGTTGTAGATCGTTTGTGACTAACCAGGGCTGTTTCAGTGCTATGAGGAGAGCGAAAACCAGACTGGAATTTTTTTAAAAAGCTTGTTTTGTTTGAGATGGTTCTGGAGATGGGTGGCATCAACTTTTTTCCGGTACTTTAGAGAGAATGGGAGATTGGAAATGGGCCTGTGATTTGAAGTGTATCTGGATAGAAGGTGGATTATTTCAGGAGTGGTCTGATTATGGCTGTTTTATGGGCAGTTGGAACATTGCTGGAATGGATGGAGTTGTTTGTTACAGTGGTAATCAGAGGGCTTAGAGCAGGGGTGTTTGCTCTTACTAAAGTTGTAGGAAAGGGGTCAATGGCCAAGGTGGTGGGTTTCATCCTCTTGATGATCTTTTCAACCTCATGCTGGGAGATTTCTAGAAGGCATTGTAGGGGCTGTGAGATTACAAGCTGTGAGAGTTCAGTTATGTGGGTGGAGCTGAGGAACCAGAAATGAAGAATGAATTGACTTTATTTTTGTTGTGAAAAAGTCCAAGATGATTGTTACAGTGCTTTTTTGAAGTTTCTGTAAGTGAGTAGGTTATTGGTTTGAGAAGATGCTTTATGGTGGAGAACAGCTACTTGGAGTTTCCAGGCCTGTTTCTAATGAAATTTCCACAAAATGGTGACCGTACCTTGCGCATGACTTTGAGTAGTCTTTTTGGTCTTCTCGGATAGCTTGTTTGTGCACAGTAAGACCTGGTACTTTGAATCTCCGCTCGATAGCACGCCCTGTTGCCTTCATTATAGGTAGCTCCATGGTTCCGCTCCCCCCCTCTCCCTCCCTACCTCCCTCCCTCTTTCTCTCCATCCATCCCTCCCTCCCTCCCTCCC